AATATGTTGAATGTTTTCATCTGCAGAACGAAACTTTTTCTCTTGAGAATAAGATCTACACTGAGAGTTACAAACTTAAGACCACAGTATCTGATTAATATATCTAAAAGATCCCTCCTGCTGTTACCTAGAAACTGAACTGTAGAAGAGCAAGTATGGAAATAAAGAGACCAAAGGGTTAGGATCTCAGTTATATCTCTGAAAATATAAAATAGTCAGGAGATGGGAGAGCAGCCTCTACCTCTACCCCATTCTCTAACCTTTTCCAGATACAGGTGCATACATCAAGCCAGAAGGTGACCGGACACAAATGAGACAATAAATGTAAGAACTAATTCGTCTTGAGTGAACAAGAGTGAGTCCCCAAGCCCAAAAGAACTAAGATCTCTTTTAACAGAGTCCTACAAAGCAGATGAAGACAGCTAAATGGGCGTGAGTTCTTTAGCAACTTTTTAAGTTCCTGCTGACCAGCAGCAGCTGTTAAAGGAGCTATCCAGGGTGCTGGACTGTATCACCCTGAAGCTTTCTAAGGCCAGATGGATCATGCTCTGTTAAACTTGTAGGATCTAAGGTCCCCACTGCATTGACCCACAACCAGACTCTACCCTGATACCATGTCTTCCTGATCAAAGATAACATGTAAGTCAATACCTTCCTGGGGCATGTTTGTCTGATTGAATGATGAGCAGCTTCTGTTGGCATCTTACAGAAAGAATATAAAATAGCAACATAGCTAGTGGAGTATAGGTAGGCCTAGGCCTCCTCTGTGCCACATGACCTTCTGAAATAATAATGAAAGAGAAGCAATGAGCTCAGTGGAGTCCTTTTTCCTTGAAATTATATTCAAAGGTAGTATCTGGCTGCTGAAGCTGCAACCAGATCTGCTTACATAACATCCCAGAGTCTCTGTCTAAAAAGCATCTTAAGGAACACTACCTCTATGCCTTCAATGATTAATAAATTCATAAAATATCCAATTTCACCCCTTCTGATTTAAATAGCATCCTTCACTTTGCTTTTTAAAAAGAATGTGTTTCACTGGAGGCCATTACTCAATCTCTTAAGTAATCAAGTTTGTACACTAAGTAGTGGATGAAAATTTGTATGCTTTCAAGCCAAACACTTTACCTCTTCAACCAAAACACTTAGAACACGAGAATAATCTGACGTACACTCATTTCTAGCTCTCTTCTTAAGTAACAAAGAAAACAGGGAGAGCTGCTGCATCTTCAGAACTTCCCACCTACGTGTCAGACCCTTCACCATCCTTAAATGTGTTTGAGGGGCAGTGTGATTTATAAAGAGTCACAGACAATTTCAGCAAAAACTTTTTAGTTCCAAGTTATCAAGACTATGATGAGAAAGCAGAACTAGAAGCCCTTAAACTTGCTCTGGTAATTTCCTTTTATACACACACACAAACAAATCAAATACAGGGAAACACCTTTAAAGTAAAGAGGAAATCAATTACTTAGTTTTTACACAGCCTAGGATTAAATCCATGGCCCAGAAATGTCTTTGTTGAACAGTACATTAATTTGTTTCATTTTTATGCACAGAATTCCCTGCACTCTGCCTTTCCTCCTGGTCTTCACTTGTGGACTCACTCACATGGCTGGACATGTATTCCCTCCTTCTTCATCATGCTTCCTTGACACATCCTCCAGACTTAATCAGGAAACCTCTGAGAGCCAGACTCAACCAACAGCAGGACTGAGTGAAGTTTGGATCTTCCAAACTATGAGATGCTGCCTTCACCTCTATCTTGGCACTGTCATCAAATTGTGGGTTTATTGCTCTGTTGCCCCTTTACCTCACAAGTTCTGTGAGGGTAGGGACCAGGTTTCTCTATCATTGCATTTCCAGGGTTTTGCACAGGGCTTTGTTAGTAAAGATAATCAATAACTAAATGAATGAATGAAGAATAAGTGAATAATTTTAAGGTTCTTCCCTAAATCTTTTTTTTTTTTTTTTGAGACGGAGTTTCACTCTTGTTACCTGGGCTGGAGTGCAATGGTGCCATCTCAGCTCACCGCAACCTCCGCCTCCTGTGTTCAGGCAATTCTCCTGCCTCAGCCTCCTGAGTAGCTGGGATTACAGGCACGCACCACCATGCCCAGCTAATTTCTTTGTATTTTTAGTAGAGACGGGGTTTCACCATGTTTACCAGGATGGTCTTGATCTCTTGACCTCGGGTTCCACCCGCCTTGGCCTCCCAAAGTGCTGGGATTACAGGCTTGAGCCACTGCACCCGGCCTCTTCCCTAAATCTTAAAGTTAATAACTCTGCCTTGTTTCTAGGTTTCTCCAGAACTTTGGACTCAATACTCATCCCATTTTAAAAACCTAAAATCAGTAACTTCACACTATGATACATAACAAGTTTCTGACACCAAGTGGGAACTACATTTTTAAACGCTACAGTTTTGATGTAATTCTACTAGCTGGTCTGCATATATAAGATTGATAGTTTATATCGAAGAGTAAGCAGAATTTTTTCAGAACATTTGAACTTGAGATAATGCCATACCAATGAACTATCTCACGTTGTATTCATTGTTTTTTATAAATATATTCTTCTTCTGTTTTTTTCTGTTCTTAATGCTTAATGACAATACTCAATATTATGGGATTTTATACAATCGTATCCTAAACACTGAACAAAAATTATGCAAAAAATTTGTGAGAATATTGCCACTGTTTCTTGGAGGAAGATCATTTCCACTTTCAATCTTAATAATTTTACATTCATAACTGATATTTTCATTCCTTATGTTCCTCTGTTGTTTTCCTTATCTTTTTCATACAGGTAGCACTTTATCAATACTGACTTACTTTCTGATTGTATCATGAGAACAAGTACATTTACTTCCCCAAATACATTTCCTAAATAAATTCTAAATTTTGTGAGATTATGGATTATGTCTTACACTTTTTCTTTTTATTTCTCTCAGAACATCTAATCAGGTATAGAGTAAGTTCTCAGTAAAATGTGAATAATCAAAACTTTAGGTTTAAAAACTCTCTTTTCCCTTTTTATAAATAATGGTATTTACTATCAGATAAATAAACATTAAAACAGGTAACAGTAAATTATGGCCCACAGGCCAGGGCTAATTTGTTACCTATCAAAAAACTCTATTTTATTAAAATAAAGTTCTGTTAGCACATAATCACTTCCATGTGTTTACAGGGTCTCCTTACAGGCTACAATCCAGTTAAGTAGCTGCAACAGAGACTGAATTACCTGGAAAGTCTAAAATATTATTATCTGGCCCTTTACAGAAACACTTTTCAATGACCGCTCCAAATCATTTGTACTGATGAGAAAACAGTCTAAGATCAATCTATCCAATTGTGTAGTTAAATCTATCTACTAACCATACCTCTGTCAATGCTCTTTCGTTGACAGCTTAAATGCTTGGTGAAAACAATATATTTTAGATTATATAAAATCAAATAAACAATAAAACCACAAAGTTAAGAGAGTTGTCAAAAGACCTCTAAGGGCCTATATTAACCTAAATCAAAATATAAATGTCATTTTTCTGAATTAAAATAGGATCATCTAATAAAATTAAATAGCCTGTGTGCATATATATATTTATTTACATGTTTAGCAGATGAATAATAAATATATTAACCTACATTTAGAATTTACACACACACACACACACACACACACACACACACAGAGAGAGATTACTATTGACAATGTCATTAATTTTATAAAAATACCAACAAAAAAATCCATGTCTTACAGCAGAGTTGTAAAAGATGTTAAAAGCAACGTGTCAAAGAAAATGCTTTTAAAATGGACCATGTTGACCTTACATGCTACTCAATTAAGATATGAACAGCTTTAAAAAAAAAATTCTCACTGGCAATGGAAGGAAAAATAAATAGTATGTACCATTCCCCAGCTTTCGTCTCATATCAGGGCAGGAAAGAGCTATCACCGAAAGTCTATGAGAATCATTTCTTCAATCAGTGGTTATTAACTTAGCAGATTCTGGTTTTCAACAAGTTACTTAAATCTGGGTTTTTGTAGAAGGAATCACATGAAGACTCCTTCAGAAATATTCTCAGTATTTATATACTAACCTTCACTTAAGCTGAAAAGGTAAAGAATAAGAAGAGAGAACAATGCCCCACACTTAAGATAAAAAATGAATTCAGTTAGCCTAAATTGCTGTCAGATCTCTCTGTTCCTGTCAGATAAAGGATATTTACCACAGGTATCTTAGATAGTAAAAATGATTAGTGTTTCCTCAGGGTATCTTATTATAATACAACAATAGAGACACTTCTGAAGTAGAAATAAAGTATAGCTGGCAGTATAGTTAGCTACGATTGGTAAACTATAGACAAGAAAAGATGGAGGTAGGCAGGAAAATGTAATGCTATAGGAAGATACTAATAAGTGTTTGGTAAAGATGATACATCCCCCATTACGAGACATCAGCCACTGAGTCAGCTCATAGCAAAATGTCCTGTCATCCATTGAGACAAGAAAGAGATGGAAGAGAGGAAGAGGAGAACAAGCTAAACTAGAAAAAAAGAGAATATTTCCCTGGACAAGGCCAGAATACAGAGATAATTATGCATGGACAATGAACAGCATACACCAGATCATACAGGCAAAGTGGTCTACCAAACATGAATGTCCATCTGCTATCCTCCAATCAGGGCATATACACATTTATTTTTTCCTTAGAGATTCAGCTAGTGGCATTCCTCTGTAGAGTTGCTCAAGACTGTTTGAGTCTTGCCAAAGAAAGGAAGCAGAATTACTCAGCCTCAGCTGCCCTGGCACATGTCAACTCCTCCTCCTGAGATCCTGTCTCTTCTCCACATTTCCACCAAAGATACTAGCGGCACCTACTAGGTATTCATGTTTTGGACAAATGGCTGATTCTATGTCTTCCTTCCTCAGTCGCTTTGGCTCTTAGGAGCTGCTCGTAGGATCAAAAATAGAAGTCGTTTTCAACACACTATTACCTTGAATACTTCTCTTGAAGAAGGCCTTGCAGCCCTCACAGGACCAGACTCCATAATGGTAGCCTGAAGCATAGTCATTGCACACTGCACAGTAGCGAGTCTCCTTGGCAGATTCCATAGCCATACTTCCCTTGTCATTGGTACTGGCCAATCTCTCTCTGCCACCCTGGCGTCGATTATCTGAATTTGGCCTGGGGGGAAAAAAACAGTAAAACCATTAACATTAGAAAAGCAAAACATGCACTCTCTGGGAGTTGCAGCAGATCCACTTTATCCTGACATTTTGAAATAATGAATCATAATGTAAGCTAATCTTTCATTACCTCTTGCCGTCTGTTGCAGCAAAAGGTGTTGCCTATTATATTAACCTTGAGGGGAAATTGTTTATTGCAAACTTGATTTAAAAACACACTACCTGCACCAGAATATATTACCCAGAAAAATGGCAAAATGAAATTAGCTGGTTTCTAATAAACTTAATGTTTTTGCAGGAATTTACAGTTATTTCAGAACCATTTAGGGACCAATGCTCACTCCAACTCTAGATCACGCACGGGGTCTTTAGGAAACAGACAAAGTGTAAAATGGCTGGGACATTTGGAACTCAGGCAAACTGATGAGCCACACAGAGCACATGTCAAAAAAATAACCATTCAATTTTTTATGTCATTGCCACATAACCCTGGATATCAGTTTTCATAACTTAATCTGTAATTTGAAAATACTGTTCTTCAATATTCAAAACTCCTTTTTAGGAACACATAGAGACTGAGCACAGTGGTTCATGCCTAGAATCTCAGCACTTTGGGAGGCCGAAGCAGGAGAATTGCTTAAGGCCTAGAGTTTGAGACCAGCCTACACAATATAGCAAGACTCCATCTCTATAAAAGTGCTTTTTAAAAAAATAGCTGAGAACTATAGTTCTAGCTACTTCAAGGCTAAGATGGAAGGATCACTTGAACCCAGGATGTAAAGGCTACAGTAGGCTATGATCATGCCACTGCACTCCAAACTATGTGACACAGAGAAACAATCAGAGGAACACAGGAAAAAAATATGTAGAAAGAGAGACAATCAAAGGAACATAGAAAGGGAACTGAAAATGAACAGTAAGGAAATTCTACAAAAACCAAGAAAATAAGGAAATAAAATGCTTTAAGAAAAAAAACTAAAAAGAAGTGTAGAAAGAGAGATAATAAGAGGAAAACAGAAAAGAAACTGAAAATGAACAGTAAGAAAATTCTAGGAAAACCAAAAACATAAGGAAGTAAAATGCTTTAAGAAAGTGAAAGCTTTATGGAGAGAATGATCAATAATGCCAAATGGGGCAGAGACATTCAATAAAGCAAAGGCTGGTTAAGTGAATTTAGATCTGACAAAGCAGACTCTTGGCAAGGAGTTTCCATAGACAGGCATAGGCAGAAGCCAAAATCTAACAGATAGAAAGTAAGGAGATGAAAATGAGGAAAGGCCATTCCTTTGAGAACTTGGAGGAGAGTAGGAGAAGATACAGCTAAGGTGGCAGCTAAAGAATGTAAGACCCAAGTAAATGAATTGTTTAGAATGAAGAGACTTGAGACGGCCTCATGTAGACTGAAGGGAATGGGCCAGTAGAGAAGAAACGTTGAAAATGCAAAGAAGAGGATAAAAGAATAAAGCCAAGAAGGAAACTAGAGCAGCTGGGATTAAAAACATAGGTAAAAGAAATTGCCTCAATGAAGACACCTTGAAGAAGACTGGAAGGAAGAAGGTAAGGAAAGTAGAGAAGGATGAGTTTGCCTCTCTCACCTGACCAGGCATAGCAGTAGATGTCATGTCAGCCCAAGACTTGCCAGGCATGTGCAATCAAATAAAGGTGGGATAAGAGCCCAGCACAGTGCCTGGTGTATAGCTGGTACTCCATAATATATTTAAAGGAATGGAGAGAGTGTTCGAAGTTGTATAAGAAAGACAGGTAGGCAGATATTGAAAATATAGATGAAGTGAAGCTTCCTATGAAATTTTCAAAAGAATCAAAATCCTAAGATGAGCTAAAGTCAACTGATGATAGCAGATCCAGGGTCTCTTGGCAAAGGAAAGCTCATGCTTACTGCTTCCATTCCCCACCCAAATACCCAGACCATACTCACTTTCGCTGGTCCTCCCCTTCACAAGGCCTGTCTTTCCTTTTAGCCCAAATTGTATAACCTTTCCCTGCCTCCTCACTCATTATGATGGTTCACAATTTTGTGGTAGTGGTTCTCAAACTACATTTGCCATAATATTCATAAAATATTGGCTCCTTGGGTTGAATATGTCTGACTTTGCCAATATTTTCCATTCTAAATAACTTAGTTCTGAGGTTGGCAGCCTCAAATAGGAATTCTTTATTTTTTAATGTTCTTTAGAGAGCACTGGCTTGCAGTTTTCAATTCTAGTTCATATTCTGTTACCCATTTCTTTCCATTTCACCACTATACCGTTAAACCTGCCCCCATCAACCTCAAATCTTTTTATTGTTTGTTTACTAATATCTTATGCATGATTCAAGTCACTAGGAAACAGCTATGAATATTTAACTGTAGAAGCTTAGTGCCTTTGGAGGTGGCAGTAAATATTTAGCAAGTATAAAATTGACAGATTCAATGTATTATAAGCCTTATTAATTGTTGTATCTAGCTCAGTGCCCAGCACAGTAGCAGGCATTCAATACAAGTTTGTTGAATGAATGAGGGAACCAGTGAGTGAACAGAATATGCATGGTCAGAAGTTGCAATGTGTCAAGTATCTACCCACGCATCCCTACATAATAAAATACTATTTATTTTTTAAATTGTGATAAGATATACATAACACAAAATTTACCATCAGAACCATGTTTAAGTGTTCATCTGTTTCAGTAGTGTTAGATATACTCGCATCGTTATGCAACCAATCTTTAGAACATTTTCATTCCACAAAACTGAAACTCTATACCCATTAAACACTCCATACCCGTTAAACAGTAGTTTCCCATTTTCTCCTTCCCCAACCCCCTAGCGGCCACCATTCTACTTTTGTTCTCCGTGAATTTGATATTTCTAGATACCTCATTAAGTGGAGCCCTACAGTATTTCTTCTTTTGTGTCTGGCATATTTCACTTAGGATAATGTCCTGAATGTCCATGGTGTGACTAACATTCCATTGTCTGTATATACTACACAGATGATTTATCCATTCATCCATCTATAGACCTCTGGATTGCTACTACCTTTTGGCTATTGTGAATAAGGCAGCTATAATATGGGTATACAAATATTTCTTCAAGACCCAAATTTTTCATTCTTTTAGATATACACCCAGAAGTAGAATTACTGGACCATATGAAAATTCTATTTTGATTTTTTGAGAAATCATCAGTGTTTTCTACAGTGGCTGCACCATTTTGCATTTTCATCAACAAGGCACAAGGTTTCTATTTTTTCTGTATCCTCTCTGACATTTACTCTTTTCTTTTTTTAATATGGTAGCCATCCTAATGAGTGTGAGGGAAATATTGCATTTTTATGTCACCTTTTGCAAGAAAGCCTCTCTTACCTAATCCCCATAAATTTGAAATAACATCCCTGTTCTGAACTCTCTAGCAGAATTTTTTACTTCTCTTCTGCTACTTACGATTATATCCTTCAATTGATTAATTCTCATTTCTGTTACTATCTACAAAGTTCCTTGTTGTCTTACTCATCTTTAAAATGCCATATGCTTAAGAGTATAGTGCCTCATCTGGAATAGGGACTCAACAATATTGATATCAAATAAATGAATCAATGACTGGATCAATGAATTTATAGTTTTCACAATATAAATCGAATATGTAAATTTTTTATAAATATTGGTAAAAGATTTAATAGTGAGAGCCCATTTTCCTCAGAAATAGCAAAGAGGTATGCTGTTAGCAAAATGCCATTCATTTACATTTTATCTCTAAGATGATCCCCAGATTGCTGAACATCAACTGCAGACTTTGGGCATACAAATAGAAGGCATCTAAAGAAGTCAGGGAAACCATATAGACTGTATTCACTACCCATAAAACAACTTTTTTAGCCAACTTAGAAATCCATGTATAAGCATTGTCACTTATCATTTTGGCTCAGACTTACTCTATAAAGATTCAAAATATTCTCAAAGAAAAAGAAGAAGACTATAAACTAGATCAAGCTAAAAGGCAACTAGGACCTTCATCTGGGCTGCAAGACCCTGTGGCACATCGAAATAATATTCATGTTGAGTATCCATCAGACTATGTCTGTTAACATAACTTCCTCTAGACAGAGAGCCATGTCCTCAGAATACAAACTAATGCAGTCCCACCATGGGCAGCAGGAAGGAATAGACTAGGAGGTGTCCATGTTTGGACTCAAACCTGGCTATAAGGGTGGGTCAGGCACCAACCTGGGCTTCTCTGAGTACCTATGGCTAGATTAGTCCCAGAAGATGGGACTAGGAACAGGCCCCCACCTCATCTCTTCCTGCTGCTCTCTACCTGGCCACGGCCCACTGCACCTGTTGAAGACCTGGCATTTCTAGCTTCACAGCCCTTTAGTAGAAAGTGCCTATACCATGTCTAAGTCCATCCTTCTTCTTCTCCTTCAGCCTCAAAGGCCCTTTGTTTTTCCTTGTTATCATAGTACCAAAATGAATGTCTCTTGCTGGACACAGGGGCACATGCATGCAGTCCCAGCTACAACAGGAGGCTGGGGCAGGAGAACCTCTTGAGCCCAGGTGTTCAAGGATGCAGTGAGCTATGATTGTACAACTGCATTCCAGTCTGGGAGACAGAGACCCTGTCGCTAAAAAATATGTGAAATATATTTTTTAAATTTATTTAAAAGACTCTTATTTTCTTTCTTTAAAAGACTCAAAATGTTTCAGGGTCTGTCTTCCTAAGGGGAGACCTCACAAATCTTAACCTTTATTATAAGTGAAGTTTCATCTGTTTCTTTAGCAAAATTACTAAGATACCTCTTTTTTTGTAACATTCTTATCTTTTTCTCATTTAATTGTCACCAAACCTTTACTGTTTCTCATCTTGTAACTCTATATCCACTAAATACTTCATGCCCTTTAAACAGTAATTCCCCATTTTCTCCTTCCCCAACCCCCTAATACTCAGATAGGCACTTTCGCTTAATACTCAGATAGGAAGTTGACTGGTTTACCAAGCAACAC